GTTAGATCCTAATTCAGTGCATTATTATAATGAGGGCTGTTGTAATACAGGAAATGCCATAATGGCTTACCTTATGTTGGAAAATAAGGGATGGTATGGAACGGACCTCAAACTTCCATATCCTTGCATTGGGCTAGAAGTACCTTCCACTCAGCTCCAGCAAGAAGCCTTCCATTTATTCCAAAGAAATTGTAATCTCAGATTTTTGTGTGAAGTTCCTGGTTTTAAAATACTTAAGTCTTTTTTTGGTACTAAGATTGAACCCAGGGTCACATTTCCACTAAACTAAATCCCCAGTTCTTTTTTGCTTTTTATTTTGAGACAGGGTTTCACTAAGTTGCTGAGGCTGTTCTTGAACTTTGAACCCTCTTGCCTCAACTTCCTGGGATTAAGGGCATGGGCAACTGGGCTGGCAAAATAATTAATTTTTTAAACATAGTGTGCACCAACAAAACTTACGGGCTGTGTGCCATCCTTGTGCTGTCAGTTAAGTTTTAAATTTGTCTTCCACTGAATATTTTCAATGTGGAAATATTTTAGGTTTTTAACAAGGTTTTCCTGTGCCAAGGTATTTTAGTCAGCTATTGCACTGCTGTGACTAAAAGGACCCAACCAGCACAATTATAGAGGAGGAAAAGTTTACTTGAGGGCTCATGGTTTCAGAGGTCTTAGTCCATAGAAGGCTGGCTCCATTCAAGGTGAGGCAGAATGTCATGGTGGAGGGAAGCGGCTCACATCATCAGGAAGCAGAGTGATTCCACATCCCATATACAAATATATACCCCAGAGCCACACCCCAATTCCCACCTCCTCCAGCCACACCGTACCACTTAATCCCTCGCAGTGGATCAATTCACTGATTGGGTCAAGACTGTTAGAACCCAATCATTTCTCCTCGGAACCATCTTGCATTGTCTCAGCTGTGTAATTTTGGGGGGATAGCTCATATCTAAATCATAACACGAGATAAACTTTTCATGAGCATAAAATGTAATTAATCCACTCTCCTCCTATCCATGGAAGCTCTATTTATATGTACTTACATACATATGTTACAAGAAGTTATTTTGAGCTTTTAAACATAAAATTACAAGTAAATTCCATTTTTAATATAGAAGGAAAAAAAAACTTTTCTCAAATATCTCAAGAAAACTTGGGGTTTTGTAATCCTTTTGAGACTTCCTCTTAAGATTTATGGAATAGAAACACTACCTGATATATGTGATGGATGAATTACCAAAAAACCAGAATAAGTCAGCTAATCGGGTGTTTAATGTATAATCCAACAATCCATCAAATAAAGATATTTATCAAAAAGCCTGAATATAGAGAATATGTAGTTAATTCAGCCATGTAAGACAGAAATGTAATGAAATGTTTTAGAATCTCACCAGCTACATGACTTTTTATAAAAGGTCATCTTAATAATGGGCTCACCCATATTATTACTTTGAGGGTTGTGAAACAAGTTACAATAAGTGCTTATATCTGAAAGTATAATTCAATGAATGTTAATTCCTTTTCTGTCTTCTAGCTTAATTTGATATTGATCTTTACACAGGCTGTTTTGATTTAACTCTTAGGGTTTGATTTCATGATTCTTTAAATTTCAATACTGTTTAGTTCCTAACATCATTCACAATAGCCAAAAAGTATATACTCAAGTATCTATTAACCATTTGATAGATGAATGGATATACAAAATGTGGTATATCGGACAAGATAATATTATTCAGCCTTTAAAAAGAAGGAAATTCTCTTGCCTGCTACAGCATGGATTAGCCTTAAAGGACATGATGCCAAGTGAAGTAATTCAGTCTCAAAAGTACAAATATTGTGTGATTCTACTTATATGAGAATTTAGAATAATCAAGTCAAAAAGACATAAAAGTATAGTAGTGGTTGCCAAGGATGGGAAGTGAGCAGTATTTTTTTAATGGATACAAAGTTTCAGTTTTGAAAGACAAAGAGTTACTCTGGCAGTGAACATTGGTGATAATAGCATAATAGTGCAAATGTACTTAATGCTACTTATGTTCTTAAAAAGTTAAGATGATAAATTTTGTGTATTATACTACAGTTTCATTTCTTTCTTTGGATGCTGGTTATTAAACTGAGAGCCTTGTGCATGCTGAGGCATACACTTTACCATTGAGCTACAAACACCTCCGTAATTTTTAAAAATAAAAAATTTAAAACAACCCCCTCCCCCCAAATGGTGTTTAGTAATATGTAAGTTAAGACTGTTTCTGTGCAGCAGGAGCCACTAACTGTTGCTGGCAACTGCTGCCTGTCTGTTCAGTGTCTGAAAACTAAGGATGTGTTTCCACTCACTATCCCCGCCTACCACCCCATCTCTGGGTATTGGGGATTTTACCCAGGGGCACTTAAACAGTAAGCCACAGTCCCAGCCTTCCAAACCACTGGGTGTTTTGACTTTTTTTTTTTAAGTAGGTACATTTAAATAATTATATAAGAAGCACCTACACTTAAATATTCTGATTCTTATTTTCCCATGTTTACAAAAACCATTATTTGTTCTTTCTCTCTGGAAAAGTTATGTAAGGATCCAAAAGATAGGAAGTAAAACTGAAACACAAGTCTTATTTGCTTTGCTCTGTATAGATTGACCATTGACCTTATTTGCTTACTCCATGTTCAACACAGTTATATTTGATGATCAAATTCCTGTATTTAGTTGGGGAGAAGTTGTTTAGAGAACTTAAAACAGAGACCCTTAAACTTAACAAATTGACCAGTTGGGAAACCCTGAAATTACTGAAAAGAGTTAAAATTAAAACATGGGTCAGGATTAGCTATGTGGTAAATAGAAATCTAACATTGCATATGTTTAGTGTCTTTTTGCTTGAGGTAACTTTTCTCTAACCTTTAAAGAGCTTATTACACTGAATTGAACTTAGCTTTTGTTTTGGTTAAAGAAATTGCTTTCTGGGATATAAATTATTCTTAAGGGACACTTAAGGTACACTAGTATCCTAAAGATCTTAAAGCCTTATAGATCCCATTGTTGTTGTGTAACTCCCAATTTCTGCATCAGAGGATTTCTGTATCAAAGAGAATACATGTGGAAGCTTGTTACTTGAGAACTAGTGTGAAAATTCTTCCACAAGGGCCAAATAGAAGCCATGTTCTTAGAGCACTCAGAACAAAGGGTCAGCTGGAAAAAATGGTTTTAGCTCTTTCCAAGTCAAGTGAGCAGTCTTTTGGATCTGTAATGAATGTGTAAAGTTGAATCATCATGGAAAAGTATCTCCAAAACTACTGTATTTTCAATTAACTGCCCTCTTGCCACTTTCCTACTGATAAATAATAATGAGGGGAACTTTGCCTTTGTTTTCTGGTTGATTCAGAAAGGAGTTTGAAGTGTTATTATTTTGGCTGTCTCCTTTAGAGAACCTTCATCACATTTCAAAAGTTTAGGTCTAATAACTGAACCATAGTAATGCAGGTGTGTATTCTCCCATGCTTCAGTTTTGTTCCATTTTAGGAATTTGGTCTATTAGTTTCCTTTCAGCCCTACAGCTTTCTCTTGACCTATTATTAGTCAAAAGCATGAGATCCCTATTAAACTGAGCATATTATTTTAAGTCAACAGGATAAGTGTATGTTATTTTACAGCTTTATTATATTTTCTAAACAACACTGGGTACAGTTGCAAATTCAACTGCCATGTCTACAGTCTAAATGTAACAAGATAGGGATGATGTGGACTTTGATTTGTGGGGCTTTTTAAAAATGTTTTGATCTTTCTTACAGACCTCAAAAAAAAAATTTGTTTGAGTCTGTTTAAGAGAGATAATTAAGGCATTTCACAGTAGAAGCCTGAGAACTTAAGCAGGTCAGATATCAGAAGTTTTCAGACTGGAAAGATTCCTGCAGGGAGTGGCCCTCCAGTCTATCAGCTGCAACCATTTGGTAGTACACTCATTGCAGAAATGGTTACTTCTGAAGTGATGTTAATGAATTTCACAGAACTGACTGGCATAGACTTCAAAGGTAATAAGATCCACCACAACTAGGACAAATACTCTGCAGAAACACAGTGGGCTACCTGAAGTCCATGTTTGTGGAACTGCAAGAGAATCACATTGTCTTTTAAGTGTCTTTGGGAACCCCCATTTCTGTAGAGCTTCTTAATTTGGTTTCTCTTTACCACATAAAAGCTATTTATTAAAGCTGATGTAACCATAAAGTTGGGGCTTTTTCTATGTTGGGAAATTTCTGTGTGGTTGCTGCTTGTTTCAAGTGACTGAAACATTTTTGTTTCTGCATTTCAAAGGAAATCTTTTTCCACAAGTGTTCCTTTGTTGTCAAAAAGAAGTAGTTTAAAGTCTGACTCATGATTTTCCCCCCCTTGCTAGTACAGTAAAGCTGGGTGTCTCTGGCTCTTCAGTTGTAGGAGAGTGACACATCAGTGCTGGGAGTTGCTATTTACATTAGCACCACCATCTTAGCCATTACTCCTTCTGAGTCCTCAAAGTTAATATTTGGAGAACCTGTTCAGAGTCCAAAGGCTGCTATATTTCTACATAAAGTATTCACCTTATTTACATTATAGTTTAAGTTCGTTGAATTTAAATGCTAGTGAAATTTTAAACTGTATGAACTAGCAGAAAAGAACTTTCAAGAACTTCAGAAATAATAAACACAAGGTCTTATATCCAGAACCAACAGTTACAACCTGAATTGAGATAAATGAACCCATTAATCCTGGTAGCTACAAATTGTTAAATTGAAAGTGAAAAGGGCTGTGAATGTCAAAATACAAAAAAAAAATGTATGTGTATTAAATAATGGTTTTGAGAATTTATCAACCAGACTTTAAATATGTCTGAGAAACCACAGTTTATCTAAATTTAATCCTGTGTTGAGATTGAATGTTTTAAACAAGTGTAACCCCATAATTGATGTATTTTCATTTTAGGACACTATACAATACAAAGCTATTTCATTATTTTTTTCTCTCCCTTCTCTCCCAGGTGGTCTTCGAGGTGTAGCACGAGGTGGTCTGGCAGGACTAACACTTACCAGCCTCTATGCACTGTATAATAACTGGGAACACATGAAAGGTTCCTTTCTTCAACAGTCACTCTGAAGATTTTTACCAACTGATGAATGTAGGACATTTCAGTAGTCATCTAGACCAATTAATCAGTCTGGAGTTACCTTCTCTTCTACCTACAATTAGTTTGAGAAATTGGAAATTCCAATTTGCTGTGATAAAGATCAGGACCGGCATTTCTTCTTGCCCTTAAAGGCAAAACCCTTTGGTGACTCACTGAGTAATGTGGTTGGTTCTCTTCTCCTTTGGAGAAGATATTGCACCTGTTCTCTCTCCTACTCCTTGACCTAGAAAACCACTTACTCTCAGAATTCAGGTCATGCTTATTGTTAATACTTTATCACTGTTTGTTCATTTCATGATCTCAAACTGCAATGTTGCCCTGTGTTCTGAATAAAGGGTAAAAAATAAGAACCGTTATAACTCCCACATAACCATATAGTTGGTGTCTCCATTCTAAAACATCTGCCCAAGCCAGGCACAGCAGTGCACATTTTTAAGCCCAACATCTTGGGAGGCTGAGGCAGTATTGCAAGTTTGAGGCTAACCTTTGCAACTGAGGAAGACCCTGTCTGAAAAACTAAAAAGGACTGGGATGTAATTCAGTGGCAGAGTGGTCTTGATTCAATCCCCAGTACCACAAAAAAAGAAAATAAAACATCTCTTTGGATGTGAAGGCAAAGTTAATCTTGGCATTTTCTTCTGCCTAAAGGAGGCCAAAACAACATGTTTTTGTGTTTGTATTGCAATGAAGGTCTGTTGGTGAAATTAACAACTAGGATAGGATTTTTCACCAGTAGACTGATAAGTTGGCATTAAGTAATCTGAAGATACTTCATGTTAATCAGAATAGTATGCTAGTACAGTCTATCCAACAATCATGTTTAATTCTGTACATAGTAACTCCTTTGGGGAATAACTAGAAGCTAAAAGTTTTTCAAGAAGCCTTAGGAAAAGTTACGGAAAATAAAGGCGAGTTTAATTTCTGAGTTTGTTATCCATAATATGAAATCAGTTACAAAGTAAATACTAATCAACTAAGATGGGAAATCAACTAAGATGGGAAAAAGTAAAACCTGGGCCTTTTGAAAAGCACTGAATCTTAGTTATGAAATTCCAGTTCTAAAAAGTAGATGTGAAGAATTTTCAAGTAAAGGCTGAAAATGGAATAACCTATTCTTTGCTAATTTAAGATTCATAATTTATATAGACAGTAAATACAACAGTCGTTTTTTGGCTGTACCCAACCAAAAATTATCACATATAACATGATAGCTCATTTTACAACATAGTTTTCAAATACACACATACAACTGTGGTGTGGCTATTATGCTTTTAATGGGGGAGGTATAAAATGCATCATTGCAAAAGAATGTTTTACATACTCATTAGCATAGTGATTAATGTAAATTACATTTTGATAATTTAAGATACAGTGTGTTAGACCTCAAAAAAGAAACTACCTGCCTGCAACCTAAGATACTGGAAAGAGTTCTTTTTACCTACCACTTACGTAATAATTCATTAGTGGCAGGAAGAAATAACATGAGGCCCTTCTGAGCTATGGTTCAAAGAATTCCCATGATGCTTAATGGCACTGTCACTATGGATCCATGAAATTTCCCCACAAGTATTTCTAATAGCATAGGCAGTTAAAGAGGTGTAATAGTTCTAAATAAAGCCTGGAATGCAGCTAAGACCTCAACGGAGTTTTAAAAGATAAATTCCACCTCTTCTACAGAGAAAATAAAGCTTGGGCATGACTAACAATATTGAGAAAATGTTAGTAGTTTTCATAAAGCTTCAATAAACACCATAAAGGCACAAGGGTTGAAAATAGCCTGTGCACTAAAATTCACTGCATCATACATTTGGAGGTACAGGAATGCTGTGCTTAAAAATGATAGGACATTGACTTTATCCCTAATCAAAAGCACCAGGTGTCAAGCTCAGCTTCCATTTACACAGAATGCACCAGTAATCCCTAGGGTAATGAATGGTTCAAGTACTACTTTTTCAGCATGTCTTGACTTTTTACTTAGTCAACACTGGGGCCCAAAAAGCATATGGGTTTGTAGAATACTGGAAAAAAGGCTTGCATTATCCTTAAAATGGTCTTTAAATAATAATGAATTCTCAAACATCTCACTGGGTACTTTTAAAATCCACAGAAATAAAGGCAAAATTTGCAGTGGATGAATTTCAAATGAAGAAAAATAGTATAGAACTCATGTTAAGCCAAAACATCTGGTAATTAATGTCAAAAATTGTCAAGATTACTAATATATTTTGATGAGAAAAGAAAAAAATCACTATTGGCAAGGTTAATTATATGAAATATGCTATGTATTAATTAAATTGAACAATCATTTCAGACCACTAATAGAAAACCCACAGCAAGAGAAGCATCTAAAGGGCAATCAAAAGTTTAGGGAAGTTTACTAGCTTTCGAATACATCAACACACTTTGATTACAGAAATATTCACTTTTCAAACTACAGTGTTTATGTACTAGTTAACAACCCAATCTAAGGAACTGTGGAAGCTGGTGACAACCTATCCACTAAAATGCTGCATTTGTAGTGTGGGGGCAAATTTAGTGAATACTTCTATCAGAAGGAAATGAATAACCTCAGCATCAAAAAACAGCCACAAACAGCCTCTTTTTTATAAAGAAACATAACTTGATAATTTTTCTTTGCTAGCTCAAAATTATGAGAAACTAAGCTGGTCAGACCCAGGAACAAGATGATTTGGCAAGCTGCAGTCACCAGTTCATGGATGTGTGATAATTTGCAGAGAAGCTGCTTGACTATGGTAGTCCATTCCTTCACATCTGCAAAGAAAAGTCCACAGATAAAAAGTCATTCTACTGGTGAATGAAAGCAAATTCTCCTCAACTCAATTCTCAGTAAGCTATTAGAATTCGTGAGATTTAAGAAATTCCCAGCAATTACATCTCAAATGATCATTTTCAATTACAACTAGTGAGTGACAAAGCAAGTTCAAGTGCAATACATGAAATTTTTAGGCGCTCTTCCTCTTCCCACCCTTATAAATATATGGTTCAGTGAGAAAAGTGTGAATTCATAAAACAACATTTTATAAACAGCTACTTTAGTTTATAAAACATTTTATAAAAAACTATTAATCTAACATTCACACTGGTAGCATATACTCACCTGTAGAGGAGTTCGATATAACCACTTTTCTTTATCAACTTGAAGCTGCATACATGCAAAGAGATCACAAACTGCTGGGAGGCCATAACGGTCTTCAGGGAATTTATGTTCCTCTTGAAGGGGTGAGTTAAGAAATACTTCCTGCAAGAAGAAAAAAATATCTATTGTTTCATGTCATCTGGGAGGCACGAGACCAACTTAACTCACTTTCTGAATATAAATAATAAGTAAATATTGGCCAAGAGTAAAGATGACAACTATTATTTCTACCCTAAATCAGGCTGGGTTTTCTCTACTGCAAGATGGCAGCTGGCCTGGGAAAAGCACAAATAATTCAGTTTAAATAATAATTATTAAGTCCTTCTGAACACATGGCTGTCAAATTTAGCATTTAACCTATTTAAAGATCTGGCCCATGTGCAAGTTTTAGAGGTAAGAAAGTAAAACTCAAATGGCAATTTTGATGTCATCTTACCTGGGCCTTCTTTCGAAGTAGCCACTTGTCTTCTCCAGAAGATAGCTGGCTGAGGTTTCCCACTTTCTTTCCTGGCAAGACCCAGTCAGCAGTGTTAAAGGGACACCAGGAAGTAGTAATGGGGCTTTTAAGCTTCTGTCTGCCAGCCCTGTCGGCAGTACTAGGCACTTCCTTGGGACTTCCTTCTTTGCATGAAGGCCTGATGAGCCATCTTGACAAGGAACTGTTCCTTATGACTTCAAAGGAATCGGCAATTCTAGGAGTTATTGCCTTTGGTGCCTTAGCTTGTTCTGTTATGTCATTTCTGGAAGGACAGAGCCACATACTCAGGGACTCTTTATGTTTCTCAGGCTCGGGTTTGGGTTCCATAGGCATCCCATTTTTATCTTTTCCTTCTTTCTTCAGAAGCCATCTACACAAAGCTTCCTTCTCACAATTCTCCTCACACACACATTCTGCAAAGCTTGTGCATGGCTCATTGGCTTTGCATACATCTTCAACTTTATATGGATCCTGATGATTCTGGACAAGCCAATCCTCAGTAATCATGTTGGGGGTGGAAAGTGGTTTCTTGGCCTCCAAGTGGTCATTCAGGCACTTCAGGCTGCCCAGGTTTTCAATCTCCACGCCTTTAGGTTGGTTGCCCCAACAGTTGGTACAAGAGTCAGGCCTGGCAAGCCAATCATTCACACTGTAAGGCTCCTGAAAGACCTGGAATAAGAGCTTAAACTTCTCACTGGTTTCATGACTGCCATTCTCAGGTTTCTCCAACTTGCAAGGTTCCTGGGGAGGCACCAGCCAATCAGACAATCCCATCTCACTTTGATCAAGGAGCTCTAGATCTTCAACCTTTTCAACTTCAATGGAGAAAGAACTGGTAGTTGAGTGGCTGTTAAATTTTTGGTAACCTGGTTTTCCAGAAACTTCTTGTTGCTGACTCTTGAGGAGCCAGTTTTCTAAGCCCTTTAAGTTGCCCCAGACATTACTGAAGAAATTGCAGGCTCTTGCAGAGGTCTATACAAGAAGTACACATCATTAGTTTGCCAGAATAATTATGAATGTTTTGGGGATTCTGTCTGCATATTTACTGTCTTGCCCAATGTTTCCAAATTTAATGATAGACAAGAGATTTCTGTTTGGATTATTAAAACATGACTACATAAAAATATTTTCTGTAGTTCTAAAAAGCTAAACTAAGAATTTGTGGCATATGTGATACAAGAGAAGCTAGTAGTAATATTCTTATGAATATGGAAGATAAAAACAGGCAAAGGGAATGAAAGCAGTTACTCTGAATACTCTGCTAGTAGGAAGATGACTATTACTAACTTGCTGGAAAGCCCAATTGGCCATATGTATCAAGTCTTAAAGAGTATGCTGAATTGAAATATAGGAATGTAGTTTCTAAGAATTTATTCAAAGGTTCCACAGAAGAAATCAAATGATAAGCCATGCACAGTGGCATGCACACCTGTAATCCTAGAGGCTTGGGAGGCTGAGGCAGTAGGATTGTGTGTTCATAGACAGCCTCAGCAACTTAACAAGACCCTCTCTCTAAATCAAATATAAAAATTGGGCTGGGAATGTTGTTCAATGGTTCAATGCCCTGGGTTCAGTCCCTGGTACCAAAAAAAAATAAAATAAAAAAAAAAATAACAAATATATTCAGTATTATATTGGAGGGGAAAAAATACAAAAACAGGATTTAGAGAAAAGACTTGAAAAATAAATGTATACACAGGAAAAATGAGTATACCAACAAAAACATTACAACATCTTTTCATATGGGAACTGTGTGCATTTGTTTGTTGGTACTACAGATTGAACCCAGGGGCACCTAAAAACCGCCACATCCCCAGCCCTTTCCATTTTTAGTTTGAGACAGGTTCTCTGCAAATTGCTTAGGGCCTCGCTAAGCTGCTGAGGCTGGCCCTGAACTTGCAACTCTCCTGCCTCAGCCTCCCAAACCACTGGGGATTACAGGTGTGTGCCACTAGGCCCAGCTGTATATTTTTACAAATTCTTTATTGTGGGGCAGGGTCCTGGGGATTGAACTCAGGGGCTCTTGACCACTGAACCACATCCCTGGCCCTATTTTGTATTTTTATTTAGAGACAGGGTCTCACTGAATTGCTTAGGGCTTCCCTAAATTGCAGAGGGTGGGTTTGAACTCACGATCCTCCTGTCTCAGCCTCCCAGGCCGCTGGGATTACAGGCCTGCGCCACTACGTCCAGCTAAAGCTAATGGCTATTTTCTTAACTTTCTATCCATAGTTGAGAGATGTCACCATTATAATTAAAAATTAAGAATATGTCCAGCCAGACATATACCATATGCAGGTAGCATACACCTGCAACTCCCTACTCAAGAAACTGAGATGGAAAGATCACAAGTTCCAAGGACAGCCTGGGCAACTTAAAAAGACCTAGTCTCAAAATCAGAAATAAAAATGGCTGAGTGGAGAGCCCTTGGATTCAATCCCCAGTGCCCCTCAAAAAGTATATGGGTTTTTCCAGATTATAATCATATACTATAAGACAATATTGGTTAGTAATTAACTTGGTTTACTACTATATCTACTTCACAATGAAGACAACAACATACCTGATTATTTTCTGAGGTCTGTTTTTGGGTGAGCCAGTCCTGGAGGTTGGTACTAGGTAGGTAAGAAGCATGACGACCACTGTTAGGTTTGCTTCCAAGAAGCCATTCACTGAGAGGTATAGTTGTGCTGCTGGATGTTGACTTCTGCTAATCACAAACAAAACTTTGCTGCCTAACAAGGATTGTCAAATGCAACAGAAATACACCAGCAAAGCAGGAAATCCAGTCTTGGGTTGCTACTGACCCTGAGCAAGTCACATGCCTTTCCCCCTCAATCTTCACAATTTTCAAATAAGAACTGTAACTACCTGTAGGGTTGTTCTCAACTCAGATGTCCAGGACCTTTAATTCACATTGCCTTTAAAAATACATCATCTCTATGAATTAATGGATCCCCAATAAAGAATCAATACCATAATTATTTTCTTATTTAATACCTATATAACAATCAAATTTCTATTTGACATTTAATGCTTCAAGCATTCACTTGCATAAACTATCACTGATAACATTTTACAAATAAATAGTAGCGCCCCCACCTCCACAAAAAATTATTTGATCACAATCTAAAGCAAATAATAGTAATCCAAATACCAGAAACAAATGACATTTTACCTGCTCTGGCATCAGGATATAACCTCTTTTCTCAAGGAAGGGCCCAGTGTTTGATGAACTAGCATGAGCCATCAGATGCTCAGGAATTTGCTATAAAATGAAGACAAGAATTCCATCAAATCTTCAAAAGAATTGATAGTATTGCTACTTTTAATGAGACGCAAATTACACTACATTCGGGTCTTTATTAAAGACCATTCGGGCCATCAATTTTATAAGAAATATGGCAAAACAATTAGAGATGCAAGATTAATTCCAAAGATTATTAATGAGTCAACAAACTAACAGCCTAATGCTCTATTGACTTTATCAGAACTCACTTTCTCAATTTTTGAAGGTTAACGCCTCAAGAAAGCCACTATTCATATAGTAAATATGTAATTTGGCTTTTTTTAATATTTATTTTTTAGTTTTAGGTGGATACAGTATCTTTATTTTATTTTTATGTGGTGCTGAGGATTGAACCCAGTGCCCCAAAGGTGTTAAGCGAGCACTCTGCCAGTTGAGCCACAACCCCAGGCCCTGTAATTTGTTTTAAGAAAGATCATCTGTGAGGATGCAGACTTGAGAAGCACCTGACAAAGGATCTGAGGTCAACATTACTCACAATGGTCTTGAGGGACCCAAAGGTGGTGATGGTTTGACGCAGTGCAGTTGTGTCTGCTTCAAAGAGCAGAACAGTTGAATCTTCAGGCTTAAGGGTCAAACTGCCCAATCTGGGGAAAAAATAAGCAAAATTCGGCTATTTTCATACAATATCTGTTTCAGTTGCTTCTAAAATAAAAGCCAAATTGTGAGTAATTTTAAATGGCTGCACTTTTCTAATAAACTCAACAGACTGTGTATGGTTTAATCACATATAACAAGTGTAACATTAAAATATAAGACAGGATGATCATATTATGAGAATGAAGATAAAAAGTTAAAACCAACATAAGCTGGGAGTTACAAAACTGACTTTCTTTTACTATGTCAAAAGAGCCAAAAGTCAAAACAAATAAGGGTATTTACCTCTCCAGACACACAGAAACTTGATTGGCTAGATCTTTATTTTGGGTACACTCCAGCTGATGGATAAGACAATTGAATTGGCCCAATAACTGTAAGAAAAATGAAACCACTAAAAGTACCAGGTATATCCAAGTTAAAAAGCAACTGAGATTAAACTTTTATCTGACTTATATTAACATTGAATTACAAGAAATATATTGTCTGGAAACAAGAAACCATGGTCAAACCAGTTCTAGTCAGGGAGCCACCTTACCCAGTAGAGCTGCTGAGCCTGCTGCTGAAGTGTCTCCTCTTTAAGTTGATAGATGAGATCTACCTGTTCATACAGCCATACCTCACGGCTCCGAAGGCATTCCAGGTGACGGCTTATACAACTATGAATCTGAGATTTCACCTAGGAAACATACATGTTAGTTTTACTTGTGTAACAATCCAAAAAATGATGACTCCCACAGAACAGTGAGGTTCTTAACTTTTGTGGGTCACAGATCCTTCCGATTATCTAGTGACATTCAAGGAATATCCGCCTCCCTCCAAAAAACCAAAACAAACAAACCACACATATACTAAAAACTATATATACTAAATATTTGGCCTGTAATTTCAGGGTATAAGTCCAACAGGGCCCCTGATGGACCCACAAATTCTTTCAAACCCCAGTTTAAGAATTATAGCCATAAAGGTTACACCTCAACTCTAAAATCTTCCTTTAATACTCCTGCCTCTAAGAACATCAAGTTTATTTTGGGTGTCATAAAGTAAACAGAAGATACTGATCCCCTTCAGTTCCTATACTTTTTAAAACATATGACTTCACAAGTTTATCAGTAAAAGAGATCATTGGAACACCTGCTCTGGTCCTCAGCATCATAGGTGGCCTTTATGTCTTTCCTTACCTACAGAATGAGCAATCCATTTTCAGCAGGCTAATTTAGTAAAGACATGTGTCACCACATGTCAATAGCAAGAAGACCAATTAGGGTGGTCAGTAGGTAAAATTGTAAACTAAATGTTTCTGAGAGCATCAGCAGTGAGTCACCTGAGGGCTAAATGTCAAAATCCCAAGAGAAAAACTCAAAACAGCTATAAATGAGAATCCATATTAAATAACTTTAAAAATTTTTAAGACAATCTTTTTTTTTCTGAGTTAAAAAAAGTTGTATTTCAAAGCCATATACTACTTTACACACTCACCAACAGATTACTATTGGAACTAACAGATTTCATTCTGACTTCCAAATGACAAAGTCATTTACAGAACTATGTCACTAAAATAATGGGACCAATAAGTTAAAATGAGACAGGGGCATACTGAAGTGCTACTATTAACACATCAAGAGGGTACAGCTAAGCAAACTACTGCCTGCTCCCCTCATTATTTTTCACTGATGACAGTGCCTGTCATGGAGACCACATAGAAAAGTATCAAAAATTTAAGTTGAGAAAGAAACTGAAGAAGAGAGAGCTTACAGAATGGGAGAAAATCTTTACTACACGCACCTCAGACAGAGCATTCATCTCCAGGAGAACTCAAAAAACTTAACACCAAAAAAACAAATAACCTAGTCAATAAACGGGCTAAGGAACTGAACAAGACACTTCACAGAAGAAATATAATCAATCAACAAATCCATGAAAAAATGTTCAACATTTTTAGCAATTAGAGAAATGCAAATCAAAACTACTCCTAAGATTTCATCACTCTAGTCAGAATGGCAATTATCAAGAACACAAGCAATAATAAGTGTTGGTGAGGATGTAGGGGAAAAGGTACATTCATACATTGCTGGTGTGACTGCAAATTGGTGCAACTATCATAGAAAGCAGTATGGACATCCCTCAGAAAACCTGGAATGGAACCACCATTTGACCCAGCTATCCCACTTCTTGGTTTATATCCAAAGGACTTAAAATAGCATATTACAGTGATGCAGCCACATCAATGTTTATAGTAGCTCAACTCACAATAGCTAAGCTATGGCACCAACCTAGAAGCCCTTCGACAGATGAATGGATTAAAAAAAAGGTGATAAATATACATATATATACACACACACACACACATATTATATATACACACACACACACACACACACACACACACAATGGAATATTACTCAACATTAAAGAAGAATGAAATTATGGCATTTGCCGGTAAATAGATGGAACTGGAGGCACTCATGCTAAGCGAAATAAGCCAATCCAAAAAAAAAAAGTCTATATGCAGATGCTTACTTCACAATGGGGTTTGTGTGGTTGAAGAAGAACAGAGTTACTTTAGATTAGAGGGGAGTTACTTTAGATTAGGGGGAGGGCGTATGGGGCAAGAATAATAGTAGAATGAAACAGATATTATTACATATATTACATATACCACTGCATGACCAATGTGATTCAACAACATGTACAACCAGAAAAATGAGAAATTATAATCCATTTATGTATATCAAAGTGCACACATGTATTCTCTCATGTATAACTAATTAGAACAAATTTTTTAAAAATACATGTTGAATGGAATTCTCCGGAGTGGTAGAGGATTTCTCAGACTCTGGCATCTGCCTATTTCTCCTTTAAATCGATATGCCAGGCAGCTGAGATTAGGCAGATCATACAAGGCATGGGATGATATTTGTTTGTTGGCACTGAGAAGCCAAGTCTTTGGCTGTGTTTTAGCCAGCCCTATGTTAGAAGTCCAGATAAGAGAAAAGCACACATCTCACCTCTCGCAAGTTATCTTTAATTTGCTGTTCAGCTCGGTGAACTCCACCAATAGCAAGCTCCAAGTCCCTCCGTGCATCACTACATCTCAAAAGGGCTTCTCTATTACTGGAGCAGCTGCTCTGGTCCTGGGAGGTATTCATTCTGCTCACTGTTCCTTTAAAAGAAAGAAAAAAATAAAAATCCAAGTAACACTGTAATTACAACCAAAATCAATCATTGCTCAAATGATCATTCCAAACAGCTCCCATTACTAACTACTTGAATTACCTCCAACACAGAACACAGGACCCCAACACACAGGATACTCTTAATAAATACTGCCTCCTCCCTTCCCCATCTCTGTTCCTATTATAAAATTATATAAATCTTCCTTAGTGACACTTTACATGTGAACAGATACTTCTGGGGGTGGGGGGGACAATACTGGTAGTCCTCCTAATCAACAGAACACATGTCTCTTAAAAAGTTAAAAGAACATAAGTTGCTGGGCTGGGGACGTGGCTTGGTGATACAGTGCTTCCATAGCATGCACAAGCCCTTGTGTTCAAGCCCTGGAAATGAGTATGTTTCCATTCATAATACACATTTATTTAGTCATAAGAAGCATGTATTCCTCTTCACAGATTTAGACTAAAATGTGTTGAAGATTCCATAGTTACTTTTAAAATAAGCTGCTAATCAATAATTAGATAGAGTTTAGAATACAGGTTTTTAGAACTGACATTTGCCTAAGTTTATTAAGAAGCTGTAATTTTGTTATTTTCTCTTTTAGGTGGAATTTTTTAATTTATGAAGAATTTAAGAATAACTATGCAGCTAGAAAGCACTCAAGAATACAAATGTAAACAAAATAATCTCAAATGACTCATAGAAAAGAGGTACTTATAGAAATTGGTATAGTTAAAAACAGAGGGTTCTCTAAAAAACTCAGGGGAGACAAGGAAGAAAAGTATAAGGAAAAGCACACAATTATACAATAAGGCCCACAGAAGAGTGTCAGGGAAGCTTGACAACAGCCCCTGGAAGACTAATTTGATATTCATCCTGCATAACTCTAGAATCAACAGATGATTTCTAAAAACCAGGAAAAAGTAAACAGTGATCACTGTGGCCCAGAATGAGTTCACTTAGCCCTGTGATACCAAAGTTATTTCCTTTTGTATAGTTTCACCAAATTGGCCAGTAGATATAAAGCAGCAGATGCTAAGTACCCAGGTGACAGAAAGATTTTTGGCAAGATTCTGTGACATGCTTGGAGACAAAGTAAATATGGACTAAATAGAAGTAAAACCAAATTAAACAATAAGATTACATTTTTACAAAGTAATTCAAAGGGTAATGGACTAAGGCCGGTTTAAATGTTTTTAAGAGGCATATCACTGTTTTCCCTAATTACTCAACTCTTTTTCCTACATATTTGGATGAGATCATATTAGAGCTAACATGGGGTTTTAACAGAAACATATTCCAAAACACTCTAGGTAGCTGTTAAAACCTCATAAAACAATATGGTGTTTTGGTTTTTTTTTTTTTTTTGCATCTGAATGAGGTGCAAAAATGGGGTGGAAAAGGCAAGGAGTAATTTGGAGGGTTGTTGTTTTGTTTGCAATGCTGGGGAATTGAACCTAGGGGCATTTAGAAAAGGATAAAAGGTCTCAAAACTATGAAAAATTTCTCCAGAAAGGAAGGCTGTTTGGCCTAGATAAGAGACATCTCTGGGAGGACATGATAACTGCTCTCAAATATTTAGAAACCTGTTTTTTTTTTTTTTTTTTTGGTATTTAGCTTTTTGAGTTTTTATATACCCTAAGAGATTAGTGCTCTATCTGATGTAAGAATGGTAAAAATTTGATCCCAAGATATAGGCTCTCTATTCATCACACTGACTGTTTCTTTTGCTGAGAAGCTTTTTAGTTTGAATCCAGCCCATTTATTGATTCTTGATTTTAATTTTTGCGCTATAGGAGTCTTATTAAGGAAGTCAGGGGTCTAATCCGACGTAACAGAGCTTTGGGCCTACTTTTTCTTCTAACAGGCACAGTGTCTCTGACCTTTAAACTTAGGTCTTTGATCCATGCATGGTGAGAGATAGGGATTTACTTTCATTTTGTTGCCAAGGAACTGAACAGATGATATGCTCTAGAAGATGATATACAATCAATCAACAAATATATGAAAAAATGTTCAACATCTCTAGCAATTAGAGAAATGCAAATCAAAACTGCTCTAAGATTTCATCTCACACCAGTCAGAATGGCAGTTATTAAGAACACAAACAATAAGTGTTGGCAAGGATGTGGGGGAAAAGGCACACTCATATATTGCTGGTGGGACTGCAAATTGGTGCCGCCAATATGGAAAGCAATATGGAGATTCCTTGGAAAGCTGGGAATGGAACCACCATTCCACCCAGCTATTCCACTCCTCGGTCTATACCCAAAAGACTTAAAAACAGCATACCACAGGGACACAGCCACATCAATGTTTATTGCAGCACAATTCACAATAGCTAAACTGTGGATCCAACTTAGATGCCCCTCAGTAGATGAATGGAGAAAGAAAATGTGGTATACATACACAATGGAATAATACTTAGCAATAAAAAATAAAATCATGGCATTTGCAGGTAAATGAATGGAGCTGCAGAATATAACGCTAAGTGAAGTTAGACAATCCCAACAAAACAAATGCTGAATGTTTTCTCTGATATAAGGAGACTGATTCATAGTGGGGTTGGAAGGGGGAGCATGGGAGGATTAGATGAATTCTAGATAGGGCAAAGAGGTGGGAGGGGAAGGGAGGAACCATGGGGGTAAAAAAGATGGTGGAATGAGATGGATATCATTACCCTAAATACCTGTATGAAGACACAAATAGTCTTCATACTTTATATAAATGAATATACTTTATATTCAACCAGAGATATGAAAAACTGTGCTCTATATATGTAATATAAATTGTAATGCATTCTGCTGTCATATAGAACAAATGAGAATAAAAAGATAAATTTAAAACAAATAAATAAATAAAATATTTGGAAACCTGTCGAACATAAGAATTAAACTTGTGCAGAACAGTCCAGGGTGGAAGTATGTGATGTGGTTAATAGGAGACATTTTATTTATTTATTTGTTTGTTTTTAAATTTTACCTTTATTTTACCTACTTTTGGTCTAATTTACTCTTCTTTTTTTTTTAAAGAGAGAAGAGAGAGAGGGGGAGAGAGAGAGAGAATTTTAATATTTATTTTTTAGTTCTCGGCGGACACAACATCTTTGTTTTGCATGTGGTGCTGAGGATTGAACCCGGGCCGCACACATGCCAGGCAAGGGTGCTACCGCTTGAGCCACATCCCCAGCCCAATAGGAGACATTTTAGACAATACATGAAAGAACTTTCTAACAGTCTTTTTTTTTTTTTTTTTTTTGATAAGATCCATTATCTCACTTTATTTTTATTTATTTATTTATTTTTTTAAAGAGAGAGTGAGAGAGATAGAGGTAGAGAGAGAGAGAATTTTTTAATATTTATTTTTTAGTACTTGGTGGACACAACATCTTTGTTTGTATGTGGTGCTGAGGATTGAACCCGGGCCGCACGCATGCCAGGCGAGCGCGCTACCGCTTGAGCCACATCCCAGCCCCAATTTCTAACAGTCTTAAAGCAATGAATAACCCTAGAGAAGACAGCTTTAAACCGAACAGCAGCCTGCCCAATGAAGTCATCCAAATGGCTGGCTGCCCACTTTAGACAAAGGGAACTTAGATTAGTCTTGACTGCATCTTTAAGACTAGGTTTCAGCCCAGGTACTTAACTGAAAGATGGGTAGAGACAAAAGCAAGTAAGTCCCAAACTCAGAAATAAACTAATGGAGTAGAATGAATAGGATATAACTTTCCTATGTTCATATATAAATACACCACCAGTGTAACTCCATACCACAAGAATGGAAAGTTATACCCCATGTATGTAAAATATGTCAAAATACTTTATAATGTCACGTATATCTAAAAAGGAAAAAAAAAAAGAAAAGAAGAAAGAAACTGATGGGAAGACACAGCCCAACAGATTTTCTTTCCACCATCTCAGCAAAAGATTCAGATCCAGGAACTTGAAAGTTCCTACAAGAAACTCAAAAGTTCAGGAAGATTTCTAACTTCCCCTTGCTAATTCTGTTACCTCAATCTGTTTCCCCAAAATGATCTGTAAAAGAAAAGCCTTTCTCAATTGGACTTGTCAGAAGTCTCTGCAAAAATTCTTTCTAACCCTGAAAACACCAGCTGCAGCTAACTTTGCAGCCTGTTTTCACAGTGTGAGTGGCCTGTTTGAAACCCAGGCATTAGTATGTATTTGGTACACACTATAGGGACTTTGAAAATCCTAACACAGGTAAACACTGAAAGGTTAGAAGACAGAATTACTCGCAAGGTGATTCACACTGCCCTAAGACATGTTCAGCTGTCTTTCAAATGTAATAACTGTCTTTGGCTGCATCAAATTTCCCATTCTTAGATCTTCACCACTGTGTGGAATGCCACAATTTCCTGGCAGTATGTAAATTAAGTAAGATTAAGTTAAAAGGTTGCTTCACATTGTCAAAAACCTTAGAACTCTGGGAAAATGGAAGGCAAACACAAATGCATACAGTGTAGTCTGTTATCTCTAGATCCCCAAAGCAAGTCTTCTTGATAAAATCACAAGCACTGTGGAACTGCACAAGAACAGACCATGGATAAGTACACACATTGGATTTTCTCCTTATCATCCATGCACAGAACATAAAATGAGATTAAAGTTACAAAACTAGCCAGGCATGGTGGCACATGCCTGTAATTCCAGCAACTCAGGAGGCTGAGGCAGGAGGATCACAAGTTCAAGGCCAGCCTCAGCAACTTCGAAAGACTCTGTCTCAAATAAAAAACAAAAAGGGCTAGGGAACATGGCTCTGTGGTTGAGTGCCCCTGGGTTCCATCCCTGGTACCAAAAAAATAAAAATAAAAAATAAAAAACAAAAAAAAAGTTACAAAACCATTTTTTCCACACACACATTTTTTTCCCCCAAATTAAAATGAATGCTATCTTCAAAACAGTCATCTTGTTAGAATAAGGGTGTTTAGAGCTCACTGTCAGCCACTATAAAAATCTGTTTCATGTC